TGTAAAGTTACATGACTCTAGGTCAAATACTTTTTGAGTTAGTATTTTCAGAGTTATTGCCCTTGACTTAGTAAAATTTTGCAATTTTCAACTTGTGTCGCAAGTAACTCAAAAAGTATTTGACCTACAGTTATGAAACTCAGCGTTTTTTTTCTCTACTTTGGGAATGGTGCCGGTACCAGACTGTTTGGGAAAAAATGCGTTATTTTGACTAAAATTAGGAATTTTTTCAATGCATTTTTTCAGCTACAAATGAGATTTGACATCATGAATAAAGATAGCTAACAGCTTCTACTGTCCAGATAGAACTATTGAGTGGTGATTTATATGATTATGTTGGATTTAACTGATTTTAGAAAAATCACTTGGCCTTGTGGGCATTTTGAACAGCCATTTTGGGAATTTAACATTGGAAATTGGGAATTTTAACGTCTAATTTCTATTTGGAATGGTACCGTTTTAGGGTAGTAGTTATATAAAGGAAAAAAACACTGAAACTTTACAGGAATGTTGATCAGCATGTGTAGTTGTGCACCTGGGTATTTTCGTCTGGATATTTTTTAGTATTTTCAGAGTTATTGCCCTTGACTTAGTAAAATTTTGCAATTTTCAACTTGTGTCGCATGTAACTCAAAAAGTATTTGACCTAGAGTCATGAAACTTTACAGGAATGTTGATCAGCATGTGTAGTTGTGCACCTGGGTATTTTCGTGTGCATATTTTTAGTATTTTTAGAGTTATTGCCCTTGACTTAGTAAAATTTTGCAATTTTCAACTTGTGTCGCACATAACTCAAAAAGTATTTGACCTAGAGTCATGAAACTTTACAGAAATGTTGATCAGCATGTGGTATTGTGCACCTGGGTATTTTCGTCTGGATATTTTTAGTATTTTCAGAGTTATTGCCCTTGACTTAGTAAAATTTGGAAATTTTCAACATGTGTCGCACATAACTCAAAAAGTATTTTGACCTAGAGTCATGTAACTTTACAGGAATATTGATCAGCATGTGCAGTTGTGCACCAGATATTTTCGTCATGGATTTATTTAGTATTTTTAGAGTTATTGCCCCTTAACTTAGAAAATTTTTGCAATTTTCAACTTGTGTCGCAAGTTTCTCAAAAAGGATTTGACATAGTCAATAAACCTTATGGGCAGGCTGCTCAGCATATTTTAGATTTGCACCTGGGGTTTGGCTTGTGGATTTATCCAGTATTTGTAGAGTTATTTCCCTTGACTTAGTAAAAAGATTGATGGTGGGGGCACCCGTGTCCTATGGACACATTTCTAGTTTATTATAGTTTTAAGATTATAATTGAATTATACATCTTTAATTTCAATGAAATTAATCTTGTACACTTATAATTCAAACATTTATTGCATATATTAGTTACGTCATGGCCCACTAAGTTATTAACAAATCCTTTTTTTGGTGTCCATTTTTACTTACCAAAGATTTTGTCCATAAAGTTTTTTGTCATATGTTGATCTTCACAGATACATGTATGTTATCTGTGTTATAGCAGATCATCTAAGATTTTACCAAAGGTGTAACAAATGTGATACCAATGTTGGTAACGTAGATTACAAAAATATCAACTTGTGATATCTGCAACACCAATAAGTTAGTTCTCCAAATATTTGACATGTTCCTATATTGTAGATCATTATATGGTAGTTTAATGTAATAACTCTGTTTGTTCCATGGAGAAAAAACTGTAATTTAGGCATAAATAAATGGTTTCTAAAAATGGTAACGTTGATTACAAAATAAGTAACGTAGATTACTTTTTCTTTGTTTCAGCAAGAATGGGTATATCATATGCTGAAATACAGCGAGCCTTTTTGTGGAAGGAAAAAATCAACATAAGGAGTAAAATAACTAGAAAAAAGAACAAAAAAGAAAAAATATACTGAGCTACAACAGTTTAAAAGATAGATCAGGGGGGGGGGGGGGGGGGGGGGGGTCTTTAGCGACCAGAACATAGAATGGGCCCGAAAAAAATGTCAAAATTGACACAGAATGAAAGAGGATTGAGACACAAATATAAGTTAATACAATTAATTGGTCTGGTTGTGTTCAAATGAAGACAGACTGATTGTCGATGATGAAAATGTGTACGTTCAAGCACCCGAAAACATGAAAAATAGTAGTTAGGCACATTGGTACCCGGCTTGGACTGATTGAACAGGTTGTCGTAGGCTAATGACGATTTTTCTTGTTTCATACTAGCAAATCGAAAATGTAAAGCAGCAACTTTCAATTGGCCAAACAATGCCGACAAATTTGTGTCAAGTTAGAAGAACGGTTTTCTGGCATAGAATGAGTCATACAAAGTTAGTTGTTATGTGCCGCTCTTTCAGGTTAAAAGAGGAAGAGATAAGATAAATTTAAGGCGCCACATTCAAAGCTTTCACTTTTGTTCGAAAATGTTTTTTTTTTTTCCAAAATTAAAAGTATTTACAGTAATTTTATCTTAAGAAAAGTGCAACATATCACTGTAAGTACTACTTTTAAAAAACAGTGTCTAAAGATCTATTTAATTTTTTAAAAACGACGGTGATGTTTGTTTCTAAAAAATAGAAAATCGGAAAACGAATCACACGCTTTACTAATATACAAATAGATAGCGGACATATAGATTAGAGGAATCCAGGAGTTTAATTATTGATTCTGTAATTTATGATGGCAAATATAATTTTCCACCATATTTTTTTATTTGACTTTTATATAAACAGAAGGCCGCTTTAAATAAATGATTGTACGGCTTTGTTTCAAACAAATCCGTTGTTTTTTTGTTTTTGTTTTTCTTTTTTAACCTTCAATAAACATCATGTTTAACAAGAGCTGTCCGTAAGACAGCGCGCTCGACTTTTTTATTGCTTGCCAATAAAAAAAGTTTTTGCAGTAAAAGGCAATACAAGAATCTCTGTATTTTTAAAGTGAACTAGTTGTTTGATACCCTTGAATATTACAGCAATGTTTATATGACATAATTTATGGTAAAGTGAACAAGTGGATAGGAATGAATTTTTTTAGATTTTTTAAGTTTTTTAGTGCTTGCCTATAATACAAAACATTGACAGTTTAAGGGCCATAATTCAAATAAAATCTTTGACAGAATTACCTTCTCCTGGACATGTTTGGGAATCATGATTGTAAACAAGTATTCCAACTTTCAAATTAATATCTCAAACAGTTCAGTCAAAAAGTGGACTGGTACTAAAAACTTAACCAAGATTCTAAGTCGATAAAAGGCCTTAATTTTTAAAACAAATCCTTGACAGAGTTACCTTCTCTTGCGTACAGATGGGGGTAATAATGTGAAATAGCATTAAAAGTTTCAAAGCAATATCTCAAAGGGTTAAGGCAATAAGTGGATTTTACCCATATTCAATGTATTTTCTAAGTCAAAAAGGGGCATAAATTCTGTCAAAAAACCTTGACAGAGTTATGTCCTCTTGTCTGTTTGATGAAGGTTGTGATGGTAAACAAGTATGGTCAGTTTCAAAGCAATACCTCAATGGTTTTGAAATAAAGTGAGGTGGTACAAAAAACTTAACCAAGCTCAATACACTTTCTAAGTCAAAAAAGGGCCATAATTCTGTCAAAAACCTTGACAGAGTTATGTACTCTTGTCTGTAGATGGAGGTTATGATGGTGAACAAGTATGGTAAGTTTTCAAAGCCATACTTGTACTACTTCTGAAATAAAGTGGGGTGGTACGAAAAACTTAACCAAGGTGTGACGCCAACGCCAACGCCGACGCCGACGCGGGGCGAGTAGGATAGCTCCCCTTTTTTTCATAGAAAAGTCGAGCTAAAAATTAAACGAAAATTTTCTTATGCGCTTGATCACGACTTTTCTTATTTTCAATTTTATGAATTAATTGATTTTCCTTTTGCTAATAGCTCGGAACATCAACATTTTATTGTTTGACATGTTCCAACAATATATAAAATTTCCTTGAATATAAAGGTAATCTAGTTACCATGACTGGTCCAATTCTTTTACTTTGTTTCATTTGTTATTTTTGGTCTGAAAGTAACAGCTTTAAACGCAAGTCATAGGCTTTGTTATATTTTAATAACTTTTTTATATATACTGATAAAAAAGATAATGTCTTAATAGGCTTCATCACGAGGTATTTTTACGGACTTAAGCTATTAGTTTGGTTAAAGAAAATGGATAAATGAATATGTTTGAAGCATAAACCTTTCATATAAATTTATCTCAGTCGACTGAAACTTATTACTGATAATTACATCTAAGATTATTCAAAAGCAAAAGAAAATGAAACATAGCTGTCATTTTAGTCCTTAATCTTTGGAGTTTTTTTTGCTGTTGCCAGTTAAAGATGCATACTTGTGTAATTTAAACGTTACATTTCCTAGTTGTGTTTGTATTGGTGTATGCTGCATACAATATTTTTTCAAAGTCAAAATACTGTTTGTACTGTTTAATATTTGGTGCTTATAATTCAAATAAAATCAGCTAATATAAGTACAAACAATGAGTTGTTTAATGTAGCTATTATTACTGATGATCATATTTTCCAGAAATATTCAACCCAACATAAATGAAAACGTTAAAGCTTGGTGTACGGTTTTATTAAAACCTGTGCATAAAATATGTAATGTTACTTTGGGCAAATAATTTTATCGAAGTGACAATCTGTATCAAGTGCTATTATATAGAATATAATCAAAATATCTTTAATATGAACCATTGGTTTATTTTAAGTTAAGGTAACGTAAATTACATTTTACAAAAGTACTCAATTTGTTTCAGTGGCTGTTCTACAGGTATTAACAGAGTTTGATTGCTGTAACTTTCCCAATTTGTCAGACACATATCTCTTTAACCATCTATGTAATAAAAAATTGATAAAAAACAAGTTCATTTTTTAACATTTTGTCAATTTAAGTTGGGCCTATCTTGTGAGAATAGGTGGTCTATTCAATGAAATTGGAATCAATGGAATAAAAACAAATCTTACAATATTGATTTCCTAGCTGTGTTATATCTATTTAACCATTCTGTCATTTTCTCATTTTCAACTGGATCGAGTGGTGTTGGTTCTCTCACTTTGAAAATTTTACTTGGAGCCTTTGGTACCCATCTTGGTTTTCTGAACCTCACAAATGTTTGGTTATAGTTCACAACATTGTTTGTGCGTCTGAGAATATTACAAGCGCAAAAAGCTGTACAAGACATGTTGATGGAGAAAAACTATTTCATTGATTAAGTTCCAGACGCTTAAAAGTGTAGAACGTTTTCTTTTTTTTCAGATTTCGACATTGACGTCCATTTTGTCTGTCATGCCGTTATTCATGTGTAAGCTATTCATGGATTGGCCAGTGAAAAGAATTGTATCCAATCAAATTTTATGTAAGAAATGACTGGTAAATAAACATGGCTGCGCCCATGAGAAATGATTTAACTTGTGAAATTTCCGTCTATTTTTAAATTTAAAAGAATAGTCAATACTGTAAAATAATAGTTATAATATTAAAGTCATGAACGGTGAAAATATTAAAAAAATTGTTGTTCCAGTAGCTGTCATTAGTGGTGAGACAATTTTAACACAATTTTCTTCGTGTAGGCATTTCACCTGTTCACCCCTCATGTTTACAGTGTTTCACATGTATGATTGAAGTTGAAATAATAGCAATGGTGGGGTTTGTTGTAAAACAACACTCAGTGAGGTTTTCAATATCTATTTACTTTTGGTTTTGCCTTTAAGAGGAATTAATATGAAAAAGGCAAAGCCGTTATTTAAAGTGAGCTCGATTTTCTTTCCCGTGAAATTTTCATTTTATTTTATATTTTCCAATTTAAAATTGTCATTCGGTATTTTATACACTGGTTCCCTTTATGCTGGTTCCCTGTTTTCAATCAGAACACCTCGGTTTTTATCTTGTAATTCGAAAAGTTGCGATGTGTCAGTTTGGTACTTCGGGCGAAAGTTTTCAAAACCATCACTATCTAGGAGGTACTCCCGTTACCGTTAATCTCGCTTTGTAAACAGGCCCTTCGGGCCAGCTCTTCGAGCTCGCTATCATACATATTCTCAACGGAGAACTTTGATCTGTTGATTATTTTAAACCTTATTTCATAATAATGTCATGGAGCTAAATATAAGATGGAGAAGAGACTGTGAGGTCACACAGTGAAAATCAGTATTGGCAGAATTGTGTTCCCGCAAGTTATCATATGTCGCAAGATTTTGCGAGATTTGATGCATCATGGGTAAAAGTAGCCAAAATACCACCATCTTGAATTCCCGGAGGTACATCAACAAAAAAGACTAAACATTTTTCACTTATATAAGAAGCAATAGTAATTTTATTTAAAACGTACAATACACACTTTCCCATGGTATTGGGAACTTCAGCGATGTTTTGTTAAAAATTGGGGAAAAATGCATGAATTAAATTCTGCAAAGTTTAAATTAATGCAAAGAATCAATGTCTAGGATGGCATCTTCAAGCAATGGAGCACCATAACAGTGAAGAGGCCCTTATTTTCAAAGATTTTATAATTTGTTATTCAATATTTTTATTAAATGTAACTTTCATTTAGGAATTTTTTTCTGTGGATTGGAAATATAATATTTTCGATTGGGTATATGACCGGATATCGGCTATGAAAAAAGCAAAAAAAAGTCTGTGATATTTGATTATGTTATGATAAATGTAGAAAATAAAAAAATTAGAATGTTGTTGTTTTTATTTTCCTATAAATCTACTACAGTGATATTTTTGAAAAAGCAAATAAATAAAATGGTAGACAGACATTCAAATAAAACGACCATTAAATTTTTGAATGTCAACATTTTTTCTGCGATAGGATTGTAATTTTAAATTTGAATTGAAAGTTAAACTGATTATATAAGAATTATTTTTCATTACATTTAGCTGTTTAACTTTCACATTTTTTTAAATGAACATTAATTATTAAATAAAATACAATTACTATTAAGTATATAATTATGGCATGTTGTCCTTTACTGCAAACCTTTTTATGTTTGTTTCTAGATAGAAATTTTGTATTTAAGATCCATTGTTGTTTAAAGTCATATAAAATGACACCTTTTGATTCATTGGCTATTTTATCAGATCACTGTAATGAAATATGTACAGCAAAAGAAGTGCTTGGATGAGCAAACCTTCACTGTAACAACATCTTGAAAAGTTATTATTATATTTTATTTCATATAAAACTATCCATTATTTAGGAATTAAATAATTATGATAAAGGTGAAATATTTTCAGTGAAGTGTCTGTGACTTTCCACATTATTATTTATACGTTTTAAATACATGCTTGCAATGCAGTCAGCAAATTACAAAGGATGCTATTTTTTTCATGGATTTGTGATGATACTTCTAAACTAAATGGAGTGCCATTTTTCACTATACTGTATAACATATGAGCTAACAGTCACTTATGCAACAGAGCTATATTTAAATGGAGATGAAGCTATGATATCATCTACATAAAGTCATTGTAACCCTTAAGTTCATATTTTTGTTAGATTTACCGAGACCATGTTTGACATGGAAAAAATTAACTGATATACATGCACCCTGTCATGTTATCTAAACTTTATTAACCTATAGCTCTTCAGCGCTTCTTATGTAAAATTCTTCCAAGTATAATTTCCAATAACCGTAAATTATACCATACCCAGACTATGGTATAATTTTCAGTTTTGAAGATCGAAGGAGTAAGTGTTTCTGGGCGAAGCTATAGGTTAAAACAGATACACCATTGGTGCGATGATGATTTCTGGGTTTGCGTAAATTATACCATAATCACGTGACCTTTCTTATGCAACCTCACTTGACTTTGTCACGTGATTATGGTATAATTTACGCAAACCCAGAAATCATCAACGCAGCAATGGTATATCTATTACTTATTGTAATTAAAAGATTTTTAAGAAACAAAAAGAATTTGAAAAAATATAAAAAAAGAGTAATTTGGATTATCAAGGTGCCATTCACAATTATTCCCAGTAAATAGATAAAAATGTAAACTAAAACACGTTTGGTTACGTAAAACAAGATGGCAGAAATTGATCAACATTAAGGGCCAATGATTATGGGTCAGAATTGGAAAATTTTCTATTTTTAGAGCTTCTTATCTATCTGATATATAAGTCTTTGCTTCTGAGTAACAGTCTCGATCTTGCCAACAAGAGAAAATTTCTAGAAGATGATAGTATTAACAGGACTCTCATTAGACAGTGAAGCTTGGGTTAGGGTTCAGCTACTAAACTAATTGGAAGTGGGAAATTTTGCATGATTTTTAGAGGGGAAATTTATAATCCCTAATCAAAAACAAGTTTTCTCAAGTATCTGTTATTTATTGATCATTTAACCAAGAAATATAATGATAACTCTCTAATAGTGCTCGAAGACTTGTGCAAATCCAGCATATATGAATTTAAATGAGTTTCATACTAGAGTGACAAATGATGGGGTCATAATTTTTTTTCAAAATACAAATTAAAATTGTTGTATCCCAAATCCTTTATAAACAAAAGTTCTTTTTTCTCTACCATCCATACATCTTCTTTTTCCCTGGACTTCATTCAACCATAGAATGATGAAATTAAAAAAAATGTTGCATATAATTCATCCATAGACTCAACTTAAATTAAAATGGTAAAAATATAATTTAGCTCCATTCACTAGCATGTAAAGTTTTTATTTATATATGAGCCATTGAGGGTTGTCTGATATATCCTTGAAATTTTATTGTAGAAATGCTTGAATTAGACTGATTCAAGAGATTTTTTTCAGAAGACATGAAACAACACTTTAACAATCTGCAATTTAATTTTTTTTAGGTCATAGGCCATTTTGGCCTTTGACCTAGATGAAGTTAATGGCCAGGGCAGATATACACATGCCCAAAACAATTTATTAGGTTTCATTCACACACAGAATTCTGATTTATATGAAAAAATAGTTAAGAACTTGAAAACAAGGTCTTCAGACATTTACACTTGGGTTAACAAAAGAGCACATGTCCATGTAATTTTGTATCACTGTATATTGATACATGTATCTTTAAAAATCATCTTCTCATCCTACTAAGAGTTTCTAGTTTAGATATATGGCATAAAACAGTGGACCTTTACAAAGCATGTTCAAATAAAAGCCCTGTCGGGGTCATATTGACCCCGCAAATCATCAAAGTTTTAAAAAATTCTGTCCACTAGTTAAAATTTTCAATCTTTGCTATAGGAAATGTCTTTAAATGATTTATTGATTAAAGATGAGTTTACTGATATTTATTTCTTATTTTTGTTCAGTTGCAGCCCTTTGGGTTCTTTACAAGCATTTGAAGTCAACAGTTCAACAGTTGAAATTTAGGGACAAATTTTCAAGAGAGATTCATGTGGTTGATACAGTAGAAAAATGGGAGAAAATTTATATAGAGCTGGTTAGAAGGTGCACAATGATAAAGGTATGGTCTATGCTGAATTAACTATTTTTTGATGGTAGTTAATTTGGTTATTAAAGTTGGTTTGACTCTTCCAGGCACTTTAATTTTTTTTCATGTTAGGAAGCTGTATTTGAGGCCTTCTTGAATAACGCCTTCATGTGTATCTGGGGTCTTTTTGAATAATGCCTGCATGTGTTTGAGGTCTTTCTGAATTATGCCTGCATGTGTATCTGGATCTTTCTGAATTATGCCTGCATGTGTATCTGGATCTTTCTGAATAATGCCTGCATGTGTATCTGGGGTCTTTCTGAATAATGCCTGCATGTGTTCTGGATCTTTCTGAATAATGCCTGCATGTGTATCTGGATCTTTCTGAATAATGCCTGCATGTGTATCTGGGGTCTTTCTGAATAATGCCTGCATGTGTATCTGGATCTTTCTGAATAATGCCTGCATGTGTATCTGGGGTCTTTCTGAATAATGCCTGCATGTGTATCTGGGGTCTTTCTGAATTATGCCTGCATGTGTATCTGGATCTTTCTGAATAATGCCTGCATGTGTATCTGGATCTTTCTGAATAATGCCTGCATGTGTATCTGGGGTCTTTCTGAATAATGCCTGCATGTGTATCTGGGGTCTTTCTGAATTATACCTGCATGTGTATCTGGATCTTTCTGAATAATGCCTGCATGTGTATCTGGGGTCTTTCTGAATTATACCTGCATGTGTATCTGGATCTTTCTAAACAATGCATGCATGTGTATCTGGATCTTTCTGAATAATGCCTGCATGTGTATCTGGGGTCTTTCTGAATAATGCCTGCATGTGTATCTGGGGTCTTTCTGAATAATGCCTGCATGTGTTTCTGGATCTTTCTGAATAATGCCTGCATGTGTATCTGGATCTTTCTGAATAATGCCTGCATGTGTATCTGGGGTCTTTCTGAATTATGCCTGCATGTGTATCTGGGGTCTTTTTGAATAATGCCTGCATGTGTATCTGGGGTCTTTCTGAATAATGCCTGCATGTGTATCTGGGGTCTTTCTGAATAATGCCTGCATGTGTATATATGAGGTCTTTCTGAATAATGCCTGCATGTGTATCTGGATCTTTCTGAATAATGCCTGCATGTGTATCTGGGGTCTTTCTGAATTATACCTGCATGTGTATCTGGGGTCTCTCTGAATTATACCTGCATGTGTATCTGGATCTTTCTGAATAATGCCTGCATGTGTATCTGGATCTTTCTGAATAATGCCTGCATGTGTATCTGGGGTCTTTCTGAATTTACCTGCATGTGTATCTGGATCTTTCTGAATAATGCCTGCATGTGTATCTGGATCTTTCTGAATAATGCCTGCATGTGTATCTGGGGTCTTTCTGAATAATGCCTGCATGTGTATCTGGGGTCTTTCTGAATAATGCCTGCATGTGTTTCTGGATCTTTCTGAATAATGCCTGCATGTGTATCTGGGGTCTTTCTGAATTATACCTGCATGTGTATCTGGATCTTTCTGAATAATGCCTGCATGTGTATCTGGGGTCTCTCTGAATTATACCTGCATGTGTACATATGAGGTCTTTCTGAATAATGCCTACATGTGCATCCAACAGTAAAACAGAAAAGTTGCTCTGTGTATTTTATGTGGGTTATACCTCTAAAAATATATTAGGTATCAAAATAATGACACCCCAGTTTAATTCTAGATCTGTTCATTATTTAAGAAATTTAGAAAAAAAATCTGCAAACATTCAATGGAAAAGTTTGTACATGTACTTACTGTTTATATGATCCAGGCTGTTGGGTTTGACTGTGAGTGGGTATTTGTTGGTCACAGACTTCCAGTTGCTCTTATACAAATAGCAACTCATGATGGATACTGTGTATTGGTTAGAGTTTTCCAGCTTAAGAGTATACCAGTTACATTGAGGCAGTTCTTGTCTGATAAAAGGTATGTAGATAGTACTGATTTATTTAATTATTTAAAGACTTTAATAGATCATTTATCTAAACTTGATTATGCATTTGAAATATTACTTGGTACATGTGCATGTTCTAATTTTCCCTTGGGGAATATGTTCTGGAGTTTCTTGTAATGTAAAGAAATACTATGTAAGAATGCAGATGATTTATCAATGATTTCATGCACATTCCACCAGTTGTTTCTTTTTTAGATACTCACTAAACTTTCAATTACTTTGGTATTAATCTTATCTTAATATAAACAAATATTTTATCAAGTACAGGTATCCCAATGTATCAGTAGTTTTATACCATATGCGTTTTATCTCATCTAAGCTGGTCAAGGTGAGCTATTGTGGGCGTTCATCGGTCGTCACTTTGTCCATCATCAATTTTTTTAAAACAACTTCTTCTCAGAAACCACTAGGCCAAATTTGATGAAATTTTCCTGGGATGTTTCTTGCTTGAAGCTGTACAATTATTTTTCAAATTTTTCTGTTCCATTGAACATCTGGGTCAGAAGGGATAAAAATAGATTTTTAAATGAAATCTGAAAGTGCAAGGCCTAGAGCTTAGATATTTTGTGTGATGCATCGTCTAAGGAAACTCTACAAATCTTGTTCAAATTATACCCCAAATTGGCCTTGCCCCAGGGGTTCATTTATTTTCCTATATGTTAAGTAAAATCTTAAAAAATTATTTTCTCTGATTGACATTTCTAGAGGTTAAATATAGTGTAACATGCTCTACTTAGATTGTTCAAATCATAGTCCGGGAGTCAAGATTGGCCTCGCCCCAGGGGGTCATTTATTTTCCCTATATATGTTTAGTAAAATCTTAAAAAATCATTTTTTTATGATTGACAAAAGCTAGAGGTGAAACATTGTGTAACATTCTTTACTAAGATTGTTCAAATTATAGTCCTGGGGGTCAAAATTTGCCCCACCCTGGTAGTCATTGATTTTCATTATGTTAATATAGTTAAAACTTTGAAAAGTCTCCTTCTGAAGATATAAGGCTAAGAGCTTTGATTTTTGGTATATCTATAAGTCCTCTAACAAAGTTGTTCAAAGTTTGTTTTTGTTAAAAAGTGACAAATTTGGGACCATCTGGGGGGGAGGGCATAGGTTTTCTAAACATGGAGAAAAACACACTCTAGGGACTACTGTTTCAGTCCAAATATCTTGAAAATTGAACAGAAAGTGTTTTTTTTATGATTTCTAGGCCAGTTTTGAATATGGGTGATCTGGGGTCGAAAACTTAGTCACACAGCCCAAATATGGAAAAAACATGTTAACACTCAATAGGCTATTTTTTTATATCCAAATATTCTAGATATTGGTCAAAAAGGTTGTTAAGATGATAATTACTCAAGTTTGAATATGGATCATCTTGGGTCATAAAGTAGGTCATACAGCCCAAATATGGAAAAAACACATGTTACACTTTGGTCCAAATATCCTGGAAATTGGTCAGAAAGGTTGTTCAGATGATTTCTATCTCAAGTTCGAATATTTGTCATCCTGGGTCAAAAAGTAGGTCACACAGCCCAAATATGGAAAACCTTCTTAACACTTTAAAGGCTAATGTTTTGGTCCAGATATCCTTGAAATTCAGGTCAGAAAGGTTGTTTTGATGATTTCTAGGCCAGTTTCTAATATGGGTCATCTTGGGTCGGAAACTAGGTTACACAGCCCAAATATGGAAAACCCTTTTTTTACACTTTAGAGGCTATTGTTTTGGTCCAAATATCCTGGAAATTGATCAGAAAGGTTGTTAAGATGATTTCTAGCTCAAATTAAAATATAGTTAATCTGTGGTCAAAAACTAGGTCTAACAGCCCAAATATGGGAGAACCTTGTTGACACTGTAGAGGATACTGTTTATGTCCAAATATCCTGGAAATTAGATGGGTCATCTAGGGTAAAAAAGTTGGTGAAAAACCCAAATAATGGAAAACCAATTTAATCCCAAATATCCTGAAAATTTGTCAGAAAGGTTGTTTTGATGATATCTAGCTCAACTTTGAACATGTGTGATCCATGGTCAAAATCTAGTTCACACAGACCAAAAAGTGGTTACATTTTTAGTCTAAATATCCTGGAAATATGGTCACAAAGGTTGTTTGTATGATTTCTTGTTCAGGTTTGAATATGGGTCATCTGAGGTCCATGAAAGGTCACAGCACATAAAAAGGCATATATGAAAAATCCATATTATCTGCACTATTTTAGGTGCAAATATGATGGGTGCAAATATGAATGTTATAATATCACTATACTAATCAGTTTAAGTTTTTGTCATTATATTTGCCTTTCATTCATTGCTCAGAGCCTCAGTCATCAGGTGAGCAATATAAGGGCCATCATGGCCATCTTGTTTAGTATTTTGAAAGTAGGAGTAGCTTCCAGAGATGATGGTAGAAAACTTTTGAAAGATTATGGTATTATGGTCTCGGGATGTGTGGATCTTCGACATATCTTAGCAAGAACAAGAGCATTTCAATGGTAATACAACTATAATTTTTTTCTTGCTTTTTTTTCAAAATTTCCTTTCTGTAAGGCATCCTTTTTTACCAATTTCACTTTTGTTGAGCCTATTGGTGACTTTTATGATCAACTGAAAATAATGAGACTTTCATTAACCCATATTGCTGCTAGTTTGTATTTTGGTCCTACTATCAGATATTATTTTGAAATTTGATGAAATTGAAGAATATTCTTTTATATAGTCTGTTATGTCAAACTTGATTTTACAAATTTGACTAAAATAGATTTACACTCTTTTTTTCAGCCCAAGTCAAAGCTTACAAGGCATAGCAAAAGGAGTTCTTGATGTCTCAATGGTTAAAGATCAAACTATTCGATGTGGAGATTGGGAGGCAGAACAGCTCTCTCAAGAACAGGTTTTTTATGCTCCCCGTAGTCACAGCTTTGTCTGTCCGTTCGTTACTCTTGTCCAGGACATAACTTTAAAACAACAAGAGGTATCAACATGAAACTTTGTAGGTAGATAGATCTCATTGAGTATATGTGCAGTGCTCAAGAACCATAACTCTGTTTTACCTAATTTTAGAGTTATTGCCCTTTTTTCATTTTTACACTTTAAACTTTGTCCGGGACATAACTCTAAAACTATAAGAGATATCAACATGAAACTTTGTAGGTAAATAGATCTAATTGTGAAGAAGTGCAGTGCCTAATTACCATAACTATGTCTTGCCTAATTTTGGAGTTTTTGCCCTTTTTAGCTCACCTGTCACAAAGTGACAGGGTGAGCTTTTGTGATCGCTTTTCGTCCGGCGTCCGTCCGTCCGGTGTCCATCCGTCTGTCGTCCGTCCGTAAACTTTTACTTTAAATGACATCTCCTCCTAAACCACTAAGCCAATTTCATCCAAACTTCACAGGAATGTTCCTTTGGTGGTCACCTTTTAAAAATTGTTCAAAGAATTTAATTCCATGCAGAACTCTGGTTGCCATGGCAACCGAAAGAAAAAACTTTAAATATCTTCTTTTAAAAAACCCAAAGAGCTATAGCTTAGATATTTGGCATGAAACATCTTCTAGTGAGTGTCTACCAAGTTTGTTCAAATAAAAGCCCTGCGGTCAAAATTGGCCCCGCCCCAGGGGGTCATTGATTTTCCCTATATGCATATAGTAAAAACTTGAAAAATCTTCTTTTAAAGAACCAAAAGTGCTAGAGCTAAGATATTTAGCATGAAACATCTTGTAATGAGTGTCTACCAAGTTTGTTCAAATAAAAGCCCTGGGGTTAAAATTGGCCCCGCCCCGGGGGTCATTGATTTTCCTTATATGTGTATAGCAAAAATTTAAAAATCTTCTTTGAAAAAACCCAAATAGCTAGAGTTAAGATATTAAGCATGAAACATTTTCTAGAAAGTGTCTACAAAGTTTGTTCAAATAAAAGCCCTGGGGTCAAAACTGGCCCCGCCTCAGGGGTGTCATTGTTTTTAACTATATGTGTATAGTAAAACTTAAAAAATCTTCTTTTAAAAAGCCCAATTAGCTAGAGCTTAGATGTTTAGCATGAAACATGTTCTTATGGGTGTCTACCAAGTTTGTTCAAATAAAAGCCCTTGGGTTAAAATTGGCCCTGCCCGGGGGGGTTGGGGGTGGAGGAAGTCATTTTTTTTTTCATTATATGTGTGTAGTAAAAACTTAACATCATGAAACATCTACTAATGGGTGTCTTCCAAGTTTGTTCAAATAAAAGCCCTGGGGTTTAAACTGGCCCTGCTCCGGGGGCCTATATACAGGTGAGCGACCTCAGGGCCATCATGGCCGTCTTGTTTTATTTATACACGTTGAATAAGAGATGTCAACATGAAACTTTGTAGGTAGATAGATCTCATTGGATAGAAGTGCAGTGCAAAAGAACCTTAACTCTGCTTTGCCTAATTTTGGAGTTATTGCCCTTTGTTCATTTTGACACTTCAAACTTTGTCCGGGACATAACTCTGAAACTATAAGAGATATCAACATGAAACTTTATAGGTAGATAGATCTTATTAAAATGTAGTGCAAAGAAGCATAACACGGCCTTGCCTAATTTTGGAGTTATTGTCTTTTTTCATTTTTTTTACTTTAAACTTTGTCAGAAACCATGGGAGTTATCAACAACAAATTTTGTAGGTAGATTGATCAATGCAATCAAACATTAACTCTGCCTTCCTTAACCCATTACCGGATATATAGGCCTTTTAAAGCCTTTTTCAACCCCCTCCCTCATTTTGTTGTCTCTAATGGTAAAAAAATGCCTATTAAGGCCCCCAACAAATGTTTTTGTTTGAGAAATGTTTAAAAAAGTGACAACTTTTTTGGCGCCGCCCCCTATCCAAAAGATACATCAAGGGGTTGCCAGAAATGGGATGTGCCCCCTTCTGTTTAGGGGTTTGAAGGGGGCACCAGCCCCCCTCATCGCCAAGAAAATTTTGGACATGTGACAGGTGAGAGGCTAAAAGTGACCCCAGCCTGATCATAAGGTAACGTGTAACCAATGCTGAAAAGCCTTTGACTCTATCGAAAACCATTGTGATGTTGCAGCACTATGAAATCAATTTTGATTGAAAAAATCAACGGAAAATAGTGATTTTTGGCAATGTTGAGATGTCCCCTCATTGCCATGGTAATAAGAAATTTAAGACTGAGCATGTTGTTGCAAAGGCAATGGTCCAGTCAACATTTGTGCCAAGTTTGTTAAGAATTGAAGCAGTTTTATAGCAATTTGAACTTGTAACGGGAGACTTTTCAATGAAAACAGCCATTTTTCACAAAATGCTCATGCAGTAATGGGTTATTTTGGAGAAATTGCCCTTGGTCCATTTTTAGCTCGACTATTCGCAGAATAATCGAGCTAATGCAGTCACCTATTTGTCGGCGTCGGCGTCGGCGTCCCTGTGGTTAAGTTTTTGTATGTAAGCTGGTATCTCCATAACTACTGAAGGGAATGGATTGAAACTTCACACACTTGTTCTCTGTGATTATCTAAGATGATTGGCACAAGTCCCATAACTCTGATTTGCTTTTTTCATAATTATGCCCTTTTTCGACTTAGAAATTCTTGGTTAAGTTTTTGTATGTAAGCTGGTTATCTCCATAACTAATGAATGGAATGGATTGAAACTTCACACACTTGTTCTCTGTGATTATCTAAGATGATTGGCACAAGTCCCATAACTCTGATTTGCTTTTTTTCATAATTATGCCCCTTTTTCGACTTAGAAATTCTTGGTTAAGTTTTTGTATGTAAGCTGGTATCTCCATAACTACTGAAGGGAATGGATTGAAACTTCACACACTTGTTCTCTGTGATTATTTAAGATGATTGGCAACCCAAGTCCATAAACTCTGATTTGCTTTTTTTCATAATTTTATGCCCCTTTTTCGACTTAGAAATTCTTGGTTAAGTTTTTGTATGTAAGCTGGTATCTCCATAACTACTGAAGGGAATGGATTGAAACTTCACACACTTGTTCTCTGTGATTATTTAAGATGATTGGCACAAAGTCCCATAACTCTGATTTGCTTTTTTACATAATTATGCCCCTTTTTGACTTAGAAATTCTTGGTTAAGTTTTTCGTGTAAGCTGGTATCTCCCTTTTAAA